AGGTCAGTGTAGTCAACACACATGCGCCATTTTCCATTATTCTTTTTAACGAGTACAACGTTGGACAGCCAGGTGGAATACCGGGCTTCCGAAATAAAATTTGCCTCTAAGAGGTCTTTTACAGCTTGTTCGGCCGCTGCCGATTTTTCGGGGGACTGGCGACGTCGGCGTTGTACCACGGCCTTTGCGGTTGGGTTGATGGACAGCTGGTGGCAGGCGACCTCGGGGTCGAGTCCCGGCATTTTCGCGGCGCTCCAGGCGAAGAGGTCGGCATTCTCGCGGAGGCAGGCTTGGAGCTGACGTTTCGCGAGGTCTGGGAGTCCTGCGCCTATCCTCACGGTTCTGCTCGTGTCTTCCCCGAGGGGAATGAGCTCGAATTCTCCATCCGGGATGGGGCGCGCTGGGTGTGGGGGCTGCCCGTTGACTTCGTCGGTCTTTGCTTTATTGTCGAGCTCGTCGGTGAAGCGACTGTCGAGCTCAACGGATCCGACCAGCTCTGTTGGTTTGTCCTTTGGTGTAGCGCTTGACGCTTTCTTTTTGGTCGGTGGAGCGATGGAGTCGAGGCCTTTCAGCGCGACTTCGAAACATCTTCGGGCAGCTTCGATGTCTCCGTTGAGGGTGACCACGGCTCCCTTTCTCGTGTAATATTTCATCTTCAGTTGGACGGTGGAGGGTACCGCGGTGAGTTCTGCTATCGTCGTCCTGCCCAGGATGCAGTTATAGAGGGACGGGCATTCGATGACTAAGAAGCGGACGCTGATGTCCCTGGCCGTTTCCTCTTCTCCGAAGGTGACTTTCAATTCCACGTATCCCCAAGGTCTCGTCGTCGTCCCGTTGAACCCCTGGAGGTCGGAGCCTACGTAGGGGGAGAGGTTGGATTCGTCGAGCTGGAGAGTTGTGAACAGATGTGAGTACATTATGTCAACCGAGCTCCCGCCGTCGACGAGGAGGCGCCTGACATCGAAGTTTGCCATTCGGGCACGTATGAGCAAGGGTATGTTGGAATTGGGAGATCCCCCGGGTAGTTCCTCGAGGTAAAATGTGATCGGGTTGGAGCGGCCCCGGAATTTGTCGAGCGTGCTCATCTTGCCGGAGTTGCTCGCGATGAGTTCGTCAAATTTCCTTTTCACAGATCCTATGGACAGACTCCTCGTGGCTCCATCAGAGATGACCATGGCTCTGGGGAAGTATTCCCATCGGCTGGTTGGTCGGATTGGGTCGTCGACTAGGCTGGGTCCTTCGGGGATGCCGAATTCTCTGCTCGCGAACCAATCCTCGAGGCGGCTAACGCACAACGCGACCTGGAGTCTGCCGCTGTCCTCTGGAGAGGGAAGTTCCTCGATTTTCTTAGCTTCCGGAGCCTCTGACCTGGGTGGTTCACCTCCTCGGGTGTATCGCTTTAGGTGCCCGTCTTTGATTAGGATTTCGATCGCATCTTTGAGATGGATGCAGTCTTCCGTCACGTGCCCGTGGGTCCTGTAGAATCGGCAGTATTTTGACTTGTCCACGTTGGGTTTGGGCGGTGTTGGTCGCGGAAAACGGACACCTCCCTGAACAAACTCGGTTTTAGCGCATTCGGCCAGTATGCGTTCGCGTGAAGCGACCAAGGCTGTGTACTCTGTGAATCTTCCTGCCGGGCCGCGTGGTTCGCGTTGTTAGCGGGGCTCGCGGGGGCGGTCTTCCCGACGGCGGTCCCCTCCTCGTCGATGGCTCGAAGCTCCGTCGTCTCGGTGCCCGCGGGGGGCCTCTCTGTCTCGAGTGTCGCGAGCGGAGTTGGCCGCTTGTGTTTCCTCGAACCGGATGTAATGCGCGGCTCTGTCGAGGAAATCTTGGAGGGACGTGGGCCGGTGTATGCCTACGGCCTCGTAGAATTTGGAGTCGTGGCGCAGGCCTTGTTCCATTAAGTAGCGTTTCATTTCGTCGGAAGTTGTCACCTGCACGGCTTCCCGAGTAAACCTTTCGATGTATTTCCGGAGAGGTTCGTCGGGGCCTTGGATGATTGCCCCGAGGACTGCTTCCGTCTTCGGGTGACGTCGGGACGCCGTGAAGTGTTTGGAGAACAGGTCCTTCAAGACCCTCCACGACGTAACTGATTCGGGCTCCAGACTTTTGTACCAGGTCATAGCGCCTTTCCTCAGAGTCGTCGGGAAGAGTCTGCATTTGATAGCTCCCCGGACGTTTCGGTAGTCAAGCATAGCCTCGATATCTTCCAGGTGATCGTCCGGGTCGGAGGTGCCGTCGTATGTCGACAGCGTCGGTGGTTTCTCCATCCCCTGGGGTATGGGGGCTGCCATGATCTCCCGGGATAGCGGGGTGCGGTAGTCATCCTCGTCGCTGTGCGCCGGGGATCTGTGGGGAGATGAGCCGTTCACGGTGTGCCCCGGGTTTTGGGTCCTCGATCTCCTGCCTGAGTTCTCGCCTCGGGGTTCCTCGGTTGGGATCGTCGCGGCGTTCTGGTTCCTCCCGCGACCGTGTCTCGCCGGGGATCTGGTGCGTTCTCGTGTCGCCTGCGGGCGGTGTCTCTCCAGCCGTGGTCGGCGGTTCCTGGGTCGAGGTGAGGGGCTCCTCGAACCTCCGTTCTGGTTTTCCCGCTGGGGGTATCTCGGAGGGTCGATGCGTTCTAATGCCCCAATTCTCGCATTTTGTTGGAACAGCAGCTGGTTCGTCTGGTTGATGGCTGTAAAGAGAGCGGCCACCGTCGGGTCTGCTCCCGCCGGGATGGGAACGGGGTGGAATGCTGGCGGGCTCGGGGGGCGGTGGTCGGCCTGTAGGGGCCGTTCCTCGGATGATGGTGAAGCAGTTTGCCCGTCCCTTTCATCGGCTTCCGTCGGACGTGTCGTTCCTGTCTGCTTCCCGTTGGTGGCGACGTTGAGCGCAAGGTCGTGCGGAGTGTCATCGCGGCGTGGGCTAGCCATGATCGTGGAGGTTTGGTGAAACTTTTGGTTTTCTGCTCGGAGTAACGGGGAAGTTTCAGATTCCCACAGACGGCGCCACTGATCTGACCTGATCAGGAGCGGATCACGGACTGGCCACACTCTGTTGGGCGGCTACCTGTTCGCCGGTGATGAGAAGGAGGAGGGGGTGTACCTGCAAGACACTCTGATGCCAAAGTAAGAAGCTGGACAGAGTGGAAGCAATAGTACAGAAAAGGGGCAAGAAGCGTTACCTGACCCTCTTGAGGAAGAGGGTATTTATAGAGAGACCCCAGCGTTGGGCCAACGGTCATTTGAGATGGGATGGATGACCAGGCTCAACCCTAATGACTGCTAGGGCTTACGTGGCGTAGTGAAGACCAGGACGTGGTCTTCGCCCTAGTCCAACTGCTCCTAGATCTCCGGAAAGCGGGTTTGACCTGCTCTTTCGGAGGTGGGCAGTTGGTTGATGACGTGTCCCCGCGGAGGGGAGCACGTGGAGAACGTGTGTCGGGCACGTTGTTCTCCCCGCGGAAGGGAGCTCGGGAGGTTCCCGGAAGCAGGTTGTTCTCCCCGCGGAGAGGAGGAACCACGGCCGTGCTTTGGTGAGCCGGGGATGGTTCTGCTCGTCTGGTGCGGTGGATGGTGAAAGGTTGTTGGGGGGACCGCTTTGTGTTCGGCGGTATGCCCTGCTCGTCCCGAGGGATGCACGTGCCCGGCGTGCCTGATTCGCCTGTTGGGCCGTACGTGGTATTGGGTCTGCCGAGGTTGGGCCCATACCGGAACACTAACTAAACAATTAGATCCATAACACAATACCTAATTCGACATACTAATTTGATGCTAGATACTAGAACTGACTTCGACTACAGTACGTAAACACTTCGACCTCAGCATGTGAACAATTTTCGACTTCAGCATGTGAACAATCTTTGACTTCATATTTGTCTCCTGTCGAAACACATGAAAATTATCCCTCGACAGAATTAGAGTTCGATTCAAAATCTCAAAAAAAAATCATAAAACATTCTCTTTTGATTATAGTTATCTTTCGTCTACCGACCTATATTCAAAATTATTTCAACATAACGACCTCTAAAATTTCCTCTTCCATCGATGTTGAAATTTTTACGGCCCCTATATTTTCCCATTTCATTATATTCAACTATGTTGCTGAAATTCATACGACTCTTTGAAACTTTTTTAACATTCTGTTAACACAACTTTTAATACTACTTAACAACTTTGCTATTATTAGAGTGTCATTATTGTGAGACTCAAATATCATGGTCACTATATTTTTAAATTTTATCAACATGGTGACATGGTGCTTAGAATGTACTCTAACACCTTTTATCTTATTGATAAGATTTATAAAACCAAAAAAAAAAAATATTTCTACAATTTCTTAACTAGACATTTCGTATTTTTCTAAACTAGACATTTTATATTGTAGTTTGGAATATTAAGTTTTCTCTTCTATTTTATGTTACAATTCAATATCACCCACATTTCTGTAATAATCTTGGCATTGTAGTTTGGACTTTAAGTCATTCTCTACTCTTTTATGTTGACAATTCAAATATAAATCACACTTCTTTGATAGCCTTGACATTTGTTATTTTTCCAAAAATTAAATAATTTATTTCTTAATAAATTTGTTGATAGTGTCAATTGTTCTCTTTCAAAAAGAAAAAGAAAAAAAAAACTTTTATTACATTGAACGCAGGCCCAATGGATAAAGTCCAAAACAATGACCCAGCCCAACAACAAAAAATGAGAAGAAAAAAAAACAATGAAATTCGACTTCACTGGGGATCGAACCCAGAATCTCTGGTTCCGTAGACCAGCGCCTTATCCATTGGGCCATGAAGTCATGTTTTGACAGTGAAAAATATTCTATAGTACTTATCAAATATTTAATGTTCACAATAGTTGATACTTCAACTTTAACCATGGCGTATAATTGTATCTCATGACCCAGTCAACTTCTGTTCTGCACCGGCATACTTTCCCCCAACAAAGAACATACACCACCATTACTTAGTATCTTGTCTCTTTATCTTGTCGGATAACAATCAAAGTAATATGAAAAAGAAACAATCTTTGCGAAACAAAGCCACCCACTTTGTATCTCTCCTTCTCAACCCCATCTCTGATCCTGATTCTCACCAACACCCTCCATCTTCTTCTTCTGTAAGTTCTCTTTTTCATTTCAAACTGAATTTAATCCTTAGCTCCAACTGTACATGTTTTTTTAGATATGTCTTAGGTTGTTTTTGGCATTTTTTGTTTCAAACTAAAATTAAGGTTACCATTTTGTTTCTTATCAGGAAGAAAAAGGTGAGTTTAAAATAAGTGATGAAGAGGGTAATAATAACACTCATGATTCAGTTGATGGACCTGATACTTCATCGTTCACTGCATTTCTCTATTCTTTAGTGTCTTCTTCAGACTCTAAAGAGGGTGCTAACTCTAATGAACAGAAGAATGATGATAAAGGTAAGAATAGCCCTTTAACTGATTCAGCTATGAAGAATAATGGTGGGAGAAAAAGTTTGTTTTCTAGAAGTAAGCAATCAGTTGGTAGTGCTATTCGCCGAGCTGCCAAAATCGGTGGATTTCGCAATCACGATCGAAAGGATAATAATGATAATGATCTTGAAGTGAAACATCAAGTTATGAGGAAAGAATCAGTGCCTGTGTCTTTGGATGATTTGCCACGAATTTCTGAACCTTCGGTTCTGGTTTCCGAAAGTATAAGGAATGTTCTCTATGCTTCTCTTCCACCTCTTATGCATGGAAGGAAATGGTTGTTGTTATACAGGTATCATCTGAAGATGAAGATTCAGTGCTATTTATCATTAATTTTATTAATTGATATGATCGTTTCTTTATCAATTTCAATACATTTTATGTAGCACTTGGAGGAACGGTATATCACTTTCGACTCTGTACCGCAGAAGTGCGTTATGGCCTGGATTGAGTTTGCTGGTACAACTTAATTATCCTCAAGTTTATGCTGTCTAATTTTAAGGCCATAGCTTGATAATTCCAATGCTTCAATATGGATAGGCACATTCTTCTTTTCTTGTCTAAATTATCATTGATATATGCATCATTCTGTTGTTTAAGCTGTTAGGCCAATTTCTTTGTTTTTCAATCATGAATGTGAGTGATTTCATTCTATAGGTTGTTGGAGATAAAAAAGGAGCAGTGTTTGGAAGCTTGGTTGAAACACCTCTCAGACCATCTAACAAGAGGAAATACCAGGTCATGCCAAAACTCGTTTATCATATAGACGGGTAGTGTCTTCGGGATAATCATGAAATGATGCTACTTGTTATTTTATCTTGTTGACAGTAGATTTTGTACAGGGAACAAACAGTACTTTTGTTTTCACAAATATCTCCGGTCATCCTATCATATATCGTCCAACAGGTAAGCACTTCTACTTGAGTTTAGAGATTCAATAGAGTAATTCTGTGACACTAAAACAATTCATGTTTGGCTTGGTTTGGTTTTGTTTGGACTTTAGAATGCTGCTTCTCTTGACTAGATAATCTAACCACACAAAAATTGCAGGGATAAACCGATATTTCACACTTTGCAACACTGACTACATAGCGATTGGAGGGGGAGGTCATTTTGCACTTTATCTGGACAGCGATCTGTAAGGACTTCGTAATTTTATTGATCCCTTACACATTTCATTGAAAAATTAATTTTATTGATCCCTTACATATTTCATTGAAAAGTTATCAGACTGATTTTGTTATTTTAAAGATTGAATGGTTCCAGTTCAGTATCTGAAACTTTCGGGAATCCTTGCCTTGCAAATTCTCAGGACTTTGAAGTGAAGGAAGTAGAGGTACACAATAAGCTTCCTTCCCTCTCGTCACATATGCACTCACACACACACTCAGTGCCACCTCGTTTGCTTTATCTGTTTTTTCCAAATACAAGCTAGTTGTTAAGTTTGCGATCCATGCAGTTATGGGGCTTTGTACAGACTTCAAGGTATGAGGAAGTGCTTGCATTAAGCAGAACTGAGGCACCAGGGATCTGTCGGTGGTAAACGAGGCTGAACATTTAGCTAAGGAACAACAATGTAGTGATAACAGAGAAAGTTTCATGTCTCCAACTGTTTTAATTAACAAACATGTCTGTAAATATTTACACAGCCTATGTATATAGTCTATTCACGCGAAAAGATGCAAATTTTGTACACGATAAAAGTTGCAAGTTTATTTGTTTTAGCAATTTCAAATGCTAATGATAGATAGAAAAAAGAAATAATTGTGTCCCATGTAGAAAGCATTTAGAATGTGATGGGAAAATGTAAGCATTGAGACATGTTAAAAGCCAACTTTTAGTATCTGAAAAAAGTAAACATAACATTGTTACATTATTAGCCTGTTGTAAAGCTCTAAAACCTTAAAGTTTGGTTGTGTACTAGGTTCGTGAAAAATGAAAACAACTCCAACTCTCTTTACATTTTTGAAATTTTACTTAACAATCCACCATGGCCTTCAGAGGGATCCATTTTCGGACTCAGCTATTTTGGTATCGGCTGCATCCTTGTATGCATCTGAATGAACTCCAAGCGCGGCACGACCAGAAGGATCAAGATTTTTGGACCATGCTGCATCCCATTCCACAGCTTTTGCAGTACTGCATGCCACACTAGGACCTCCTGGAACTGTCGACCTGGCAGCATTCTGTTCAAATGAAATGATTCAACATAGTCAATAAGTGGTTTGGCATAGTTGGAATTCGCAAACATGTCCAAGGTCTGATGAAAAATGTATTATTATTGTTTTTATGATTAATAAAAACTATAAAATTCACCTTTGGAAATAACTTCTCAAAAATTGTCCTATAGTGGTAACCCTCTTTTGTAGTAGGAGTGTTTTCAGGGTAAACAAAGTTGGCATGCTTCAACATTGCATCTGTGACCTAGTCATTTATCAAGATAATATAAGGACAGAAACAAGGATAATGTCATTGAATTCTATATAATTAGCTATTCAATTCCATGTATGGATTAGAACCTACTTGTGCACTAGCATGATCCTTCAAACCATCAATCCAACTGTATCCGACACCATCACTGAACTGTTCCTTCTGTCGGTACAATATGTGCTGGAAAAATACAAGAACAATATTATTTCATAAACTCTTCAAGACTTAGGAATAGGCATAATGCAGAACAGCAGAAGTTGCAAACCTTTGGCAAATATGGTTTCTCATCGTCATCAAATGCATTGCGCACTATCCATTTCTCTATCCTTTTAAGATCAGGCTTTATCTGAGCAATTTGTCATAAATTTAACGAGGTGATTAGAACATGATTAGAACATGATACATGATCATCAAAAGAAGAATTTGAACATTTAAACTAAAGCAAAAAGGTATAATGACATTTAAATTTATTTTACAGTAACTCAACATAATCTCAATCAACAATGCATGTAACCCAATTGGAACTGTTATGTTGCATGGACAAGACAAGATGAACAATAAGGGGGAAAATGTAAAAGTAAAGTACCATTTTCCATTCCGGATCGATGGCCATGGCTGTGCTGATAAAGTCTTTATCCAAGAACGGTACACGTGCCTCTATACCCCAAGCGGAAGTTGATTTATTGGCTCTAAGGCAATCATAAAGATGAAGTGCTTTAATCTGTCAAATCATCAAAACAACCAAAAACATGAATAAACAGGTAAAAAAGTAATCAAAATATGGGGCATAATGGTTATGGTATATTACTTTTCGACATGTTTCTTCATGAAGCTCTTGCTTGTTAGGTGCCTTATGGAAATACAGGTAACCTCCAAATATTTCATCTGAACCTTCTCCGGAAAGAACCATTTTCACTCCCAATGATTTGATTTTCCTAGACATGAGAAACATTGGAGTACTTGCTCTCACAGTTGTTACATCATATGTTTCGGTATGGTAAATGACTTCCTCGAGTGCATCTATACCTTCCTGATACAAAAATCAAATATTACCCGAGTTAGTAATAAGAATCTCATCTGCATAAGGTAAACAATGATCAGATGATGATTGAGACGGTTACCTGAACCGTGAAATGAAGTTCGTGGTGACGAGTGCCAAGATAATCTGCTACCTCTTTTGCAGCTTTCAAATCCGGAGAGCCCTGAATGATGGAAAAAGCATGTCATGAAGCATATAATGCTAATGTACTACTAGACCTGAACGGTGGATAATACAACTCATTTTCACCTAACATGGGAAATAATTATGACCTTTAAACCAATGCAGAAAGTATGTAACTGCGATCCCCACTGACGAGCAGCGTCTGATTGCGCCAAATATCGATTGGCCACCGCAGCAACAAGTGATGAGTCCAATCCTCCAGACAAAAGAACTCCAAAAGGCACATCAGTCATCAGTCTTTTAACTACAGCCTGCATGATATCACAGTTAAAATAAGTACATAGTTAAAAGGGGTGTTAGTAAGATTATCCGTTAGTTAGTATGTGGCTCAAGTACACCAAACTAAGTCACTACATGTAAAAGGAGAGCCAGTGTTGTCAATCGTGGATAGCAAAAAATAGATGTTTGTTCAAATTCCGCTACACAACAGTGCTATAGCACACCACTATAATCCCTATTGGACAACAGTTTATATTAAGTAGACAAGTAGTGAATTGCAAAACAATAGTAATTTGTTCAAATTCCTCTATACTATAGTGTTGCTATTTAACAAAGCAGAGTAGAACTGAATCTTCTAAGCTTAAAACGGTGATGAAAGTCAATGGATAAGACAGTAATAGCTCACCCTCTCAAAGGTCTCACGTAAAACAATTGGATCATAGGGTGTTGATGGAATTTGCTCCGAGAACCATGTTGGATTGTACCACCTTCTTAATCCTCCTGCAAATACAACAATTTTTAACATGATACTTAAATGACTATTGTATGTTAGTGTATAATGTAGACGGTAAAAGGAGAAACAAATTGGAAATTGAATTACAAGAATAATGATGAACAGAAAATAGAATAGATGACATTATCTGTACCCTGTTTGCTGGAATATATATGCCCCGGAGGAAAAGATATTAATCTCTCACAGTCGTCAACCAGAGCTTTCATTTCAGACGCAAACCATATTGATCCTGCAAATAAATCAGCACTTCAATCAATAATATATCTACCTCAATCATTTGATAAAAATGCAAGAACAACAACCATGCCAAGCTACGGAAAAAAAAAACATTTGTATACCCAGGTGAATATGTTCCACAGCATAAGAAGGATTGAATGATATAACAAAGTAAATCCTTATGTTTATACATATATGTAGCAGAATATTCATCCATAGTTTATAAGAAATTAGTTTGTGCTAATTAAATTGTACATTGTATACACAAATATGGTGTAAAAGAAATTAGTTTGTGCTATAAATGTTTAATTAAATAGTAAATTGTTGACACAAACATGGTCCAAGATGAAAATGTAAAATGCTACAAGAAAAAGGAAGATATATATTATACCATCATGGCCCCAACCCAAGTAAAGAGGGGTAATTCCAATAGCATCACGAGCAGCAATAAAACTTTTATCTTTAGTGTCAAGTAGCACGAATGAGAACATTCCATCCAGCATATCAACAAACTCTTCACCATGTTCTTCATACTAATATAATAATAATAGAGTCAGAATATCACAAAAATAAAACAATCCACCTTTATAGCACCAACACATTTGAACATAGGTATGTCGGGTGAGTCACTCGCCAGCACGGACACAACACAGACACACATTATTAAGTTCAATTTATTCATTTTTTTCAATTTATTACCAAAGTCGAAGTGTCAGTATAGGTGGCTGCCGAAGTGTCAGTAAAATAATAACAGAAAATGAAACTCATTCCAAAAACTTACAAGATGAGCAATGACTTCACAGTCACTACCAGTTCGAAATTGATGAGAAGACAGTTTCTGTTTCAATTTCTTGTGGTTGTAGATCTCCCCATTTACCTAAAACATCATCCATATCCAAGTCATTAAAAATGTTTCACTGTAACCCTAACTACTTCTAAAGCCGCACATCTTAACTACAAAAATAGCTGCATGCAACGGAATGTAATATTTTGTAATGAAACACTGAATTTCAAACAATAAAAAAGAATATAGAGAGATAAAAGTAGATAGATAAATACATACGGTGACAATAATGGTTTTGTCTTCGTTGTAAAGAGGTTGATCTCCAGAAGTAGGGTCAACAATGGCAAGGCGTTGATGAGCAAGGTAACAGTCTTGATGACAATGCAAACCGCTCCAATCGGGGCCTCTGTGTTTCAATCTGCGAGAGAGTTCGATGATGCGGGCGCGTTTGGAGATAGAGTTGTCGACGACACCCAATACTGCTAAGATTCCGCACATGACGGCTACTAAGAACAAAACAAGGTTGAATCTGAGGAAATGAATATTTTATAAAGAAAAGTACTATGGGATACTGTTTTAGTATTTATATATACTCGTTTTAAGGCACGCTTTTAAATAAATGTCAAATGTTTAATTATAAAAAATTACGATAATTCACGTTGGTCGGTGATATTAAAAAAACATTAATTTTAGTCTCTTAAAATAGAAACTTTGAGTCTTTAAACAAACTATAATCTAAAATCTATACTACTTTTTAGATTAGGTGAAACTTTTCATCCATGTATTCACCATATTACTTCTTATGTGTTATGTGAATGAATTGAAGATTTTTTTAAAGCAAAATATGGATTAAATGAGTATTAGGAGTAGTCAAACTCGATTAAAAAAAATTGAGGAGAACTAATTTCAGTTTATTAAACTAAATAATGTAAAAGTTGCGATGTTGTAAAAAAAATTTGTACTTTTTAGCCTCGATTCTGCATAAAAGTGTTTGCAAGTGTTTATTCCAATCAATTTGCTTTTAAAGAAGTTAACTCCAAGCCCCGAAACAATTTCGAACCCTCTTAAAACTGCTTTTAGAGACCACAAGTGCTTCCAACTTCCTTTCCTAACTAATAAAGTGTCGTCAACAAACTGCAGGGCATCCACCACACAATGATCATTCACTTTAAAATCAGAGAAACCACCTATCTCGTGAGCCTTTTTTACCAAACCAGACAACCCTTCAGCAACTATAACGAATAGAAAAGGCGATAGCGGGTCGCCTTGTCTAAGCCCTCTTTTCACTCTAAACTCACTAATCGGATTTTCGTTAACCAAGACGGACATATAGCTCGAGAAAATGGTAGTCTCCATCTATTTCAGCTAAAGATTACCAAACCCCATCATTCTCATCATATATTTAAGATAATCCCAATTCACTTTATCGTAAGCCTTTTTGAAGTCCACCTTGAAGAGTAAGCATTCCTTCTTCTCCTTCGATGTGAAATCCACTATTTTGTTTGCCACCACAACTTCATTCATCAACTGTCTACCTGGAACAAAAACGCTATGAAAAGGCGATATAATGGATCTAAGAACCTTTTTAATTCTAGATGCCAATAGTTTGTATATCGCCTTATGGAGACAACCAACCAAACAAATGGGCTTGTAGTCATTGAGATCCAATGAGTTTGCATTTTTCGAAATCATAGTAAAAAAGGAAGAAGATATAGACTTAGACAACACAGCTTGATCGTAGAAATCATGAAAGAAACGAGTGAAATCATCTTTTATAATATACCAACATTTCGTGATGAAGAAAAAATTGTAACTGTCGGGTCTCGGGCTCGTCGACTCCTATTGTATCCATCTAATCATTTTTAATCCTTATTGTGCTCATCTATTGGGATGTTGTAAACATTATAACTTCATTTAAACTAATGTAATGTAATGATTATAACTCTTGGAAACTTGCGCTTCAAAATCCTAGGGTTTAAAATTACAAGAGTTTAATGGAGATGCACTCACATTGCAAAAAAGTTTTATCGTCTCATTCAATAAAAATTTATCACTTTACTATGTCATACAAATAATTTAAAATTCAGTCAAATTTGACGGAATACATGGTCGGCATTAGTTGACAATATAAAATTAATTTACATTGTCGGTGCATCATCCCTTTTCTCAAATTATAACCTTGTCCATGTTAAATTTGCAGCGACGTTTTTCTTGGCGGGTCTTGCTTTTCATCTTTTTTATGGCATCTTTCATCTTTTCATCATTTGTAGAGATACATATATCTTCTCCTCTAACAGAGACAAAAGGAAGGTCTTATGTTGTCTCTTTTTTTCTTAAAGCAACAAAATCTAATAATTTTCAAGTAATCGACAATTAGAATCAATCATCTTTAACTGGTAAGGACTTTTCTTCTTATGTAGTTTTGATGAATAAATTATTTATTTCGTGTCATTCATCTACTTCGCAAATGTTAATTAAATATTTCTAACATGGTTATGAACAAAATTAAAAATCACTAATTTTCGCTTCTTTGGTTTTCTTCTTTTCATTTTGATAATTTTATACCCATAAACACGGACAACGAACTCAATACTCTCACACACCAAACATGTTTGTTTTAGGTGTCAGTCCTATAGTAATGGATTTTATTAGTGATACCATTTCCCACAAACATGTCCATAAATCTTGGCAACTAATGGACCAAACAATTTAACACTTTCGCTTACGTTGTAATTGGTGTTGGAAAATGGTTTCACAAATCTACAGTATATCATGAAAACAACACAGTAACTAGCTGTCATTACTGTCCCAGGAAAATTTTTACCTATTTAGGGTTCCACTATGTGTACCGACTTTTTTAACTTCTTCACAAGAACTTCTAGCCATATTGCGACTGTTTTGTATAGAACTACAACACCAAATCACTTTGAAAATGGTGAATGCTTTAATGGATGGTTTACCTGGACCAATTGACTCACCTAGGTTTGGAATTTGTTTTGATGAAATTAAATAGTATTACACATTTCCATTTGACATTGTTGTACAAAAGAAGTACGGATCTTTGAAATATGAACCAGTTCCCTAGAACTTTTGTAGGTTAGTTCTAAACTAGGGTTCATGATCCAAAATCTAGTCTCCATTCAACACATGAGAATTTATTAACTAAGAGAGCATGTTTTACAAAACCAGCATATAGGGCTCATGATAAATCAATGTATAGAATACATCAAAACACAAACCACTATGACATTTTTCTACTGCTTAGTTGCAAGATGATCTCCAAACTTCCTTTCCTCTGGTTTAATGAATGGGTCATGAAAAATACAACAAAAGATATTAATCTCAATCACGTAACAATATCTTTAGCAAATCTCTTTACCTTTCATCGAATTTAGTTTACAACATTATAACTTAGAGAGTTTTTTATTTTACATTTGTCCAATTTTAATTTATGTTTTTTCCTTTTTCTTGTTTCCATTTATGTGTTACACTGCTCTAACAATATTGCCACTAGTGAATCACTGTTCTGCATCTATCCTGGAACATTCAAACAAAATTTTAAATTAAAATGTTTATTCTTTGGTCATAATAGTGTCCCTGAACTCTAATCTTTCGAGGATAAATTGATACAAATCAGAATAGTAAAGGAGAAATTTTGAGAGGAGATAAACAAAAATTAAAGAAAATAGAAAAAGGAAGAGACTTAGAAATAAACACAAATACATAAGGTTCAAACATCTAGTTTCAACAAACTCTACCATTTTTTACCATCCAACATAATCATATACAAACTCAAACACCTTATTTGTAAACTCAATCTTAGTATTAAGTCAGAATTAAAAATTAGTTAAAAAAGTAGAGGAATAGACAAGAAGGAGGGAGCATAAACCTTTCACAACCTTCAAACTATCATTCACTGTTTACTTTCTACGATCAATCATTCAGTCGCCACTTGCACGCGAGCAGATCGCTACCATAATTCTCTTTCGTCTCTCAAATAGCTGGGAACATACGTTGTTCACACTACCACTCACTGTTTACTTCTAGTGACCACTCATTCGGATGCGAGCAGATCGTCACCACATGCCTTTTTTGTCCTCAAACCGTTGTGAACATACGTTGATCACCTTCGCACTACTGAATCTAACTCCAGCAAAGCCACCATGCAAACCACCATGCCTCTGTCGTGATCGCCACCCTGCGTAAAACATCAATGGAGACATTATACCTTCAATTCCTCAAGAGAAAACCCTTTACCAGCCCTAAGTTTCATGTTATATTTCTGAGTTTGTCCATGAACAATAGGCCTGAGAGGTCCGGCAGTAGGCCTGGGGAAAATCTTAACAGCTTTCTTCTGACGAGCTGAACGATACACCATCCACAACAAGTCAGTGAAATCCCTTAGTCCAACTGCTGGAGCTTCAGCTTGTTCGGGGATACCCTATCATTTAAATTTAACATCGACAGTAAATAAAAAAGATGTTAGTTAACAAAATATAATAATGATACACAATAACCTTTTATCCGTTCCATTTTTAAGTTCCTGAATATAATCAAAATCATAACCCCGGAAGTTCAATATAAATACACAGATTGTTATATTTAGGGCCTCACTAAGTAATTCTGTTTGTATACAGGTATGCTAGAGGCATGTTAGTAAAATCATTATAAATGTAGAGTTTTGTGGAAATAGTTATTTCTTTTGTGCCAGTAAGTCAATCAAAATTTAAAATTGAGTCCAACACGGTGGATTCTCTAAAAGCCTTCCAACAAACAAGTTAAAGCGGAGTCCAATACAGTGGATTCTCTAAAAGCCTTCCAACAAACAACAAGTTAAAATGGAGTCCAAGTCCAACGCAGTGGATTTTCTAAAATCCTTCTAACAAACAACGAGTTACCAGATTAACAGCAAAAACATTCATACTCCAAACGGAAAAGCAAGATTCGGTGGGTGCAGACTTACAGAATAGAGATACTCAACAGCTCTTTCAGGATTGTTATACGCAGCACGAAGAGCTCGGATCACAGTATCCCGATCCCAACTTCCTCCCCCCATTTCTAGAATCTGCTGAATAGTTGATTCTAAATTACTTCCAGCGAGGAGATTAGATTCTGCTTGGCCATATGTGTTAGACACCTCACTGCCATAAACAGTATACATGCAAAAATCGTGAGTTCACAAAAAAGATAATAGATAGAGCTGCAGTACATATTTTTTTCAGAAGAAAAGTAACAGATGGTCAGAATAAGAGAATAGGCAGTGATAACAATATGACACTATCTCCATAAGAAGGGAGCCACAACTGGTGCGGCCTCAAGGTTGCCACAAATTATCAACAATATTTATTTGCTAACAAAATTTTAAAAGCCATTATAGAGAAAATGCCACAAAATTTCAATAGCGAACACTATAATTTCACCACAATCTTGTACTAAAGTAAAGTAAATGAGTATGGAAAAAATGATGACAGTCATCAGAGTAAAAGGACGCCCACACATTCCTCCCCCATTTCTCGGTGGCAGCAAGAACTTGTAGTATCTTCCTCCGGCCAAACCTCCGACAGCGTCATCAACTTATCAATATAAACTCAAGTACGTAATGTGATGACAGTTTGTAGTTTCTGTAAATCACAGTCAACATTTGCATTGGGAAGCGATTTAAGTCACAAAAGCTAAACCAAACATAAACTGATTCTGCAGATATTTCCAAAAAAATCACTTTTGACAAACACGTGTTCGGTTACAAAACTCACAAACTCCAACTAATTGAAACCCTTTTTTCTTTCCCACTCCACGCTCCTAAAGATTCAACCTATTTTCCATATTCAAGTAATAATTTAGCAAATAACAATTAAGCAAAGCGCCAAACTAATAAGAAAAATCAAACAAATTAAGTGTAAATAAATAATACCACTAACCAAAACATAAATTATGATAAGCTTGACGAACAGCACGCTTTGAACATCTTTGACTGCAAGAAACCAAACAATGAAAAAGACAACTTAATTAACTAATCAATCAATCAACAAAATGGCAAATCAGCTTAATACCACTGAACCAAAACACTAAACCAGAACCGAGTTACTAACACAACTGGGTTTAACCTCTGCATCAAATCAGCTTCTCTATCAAATCAGATGCTTCTTGAATGGTTGTGATGTTTTCAGAGTTATCATCCTCAATATTGAGCCCAAACTCTTCCTCTAATCCCATCACTATTTCAACCTGCAATATCACAAAACCCAAGCTCTAACATAAGCAACACAAACATCCAAACTCTTCCTCTAATCCCATCACTATTTCATTGATAGAAGAAGAGATCAGTCGACTAAAATAAAATATATGGCAAAGGAAAATGACGAAACATTCATAAAGCCTCGAAGGGCAAATCAAAATACAAAAGCCCAGAGGGCGAAGTTCACAGTCATAGCAAAAGGGGAGGACAAAGCCGCACTCCCCAAAACAAAAGATTACATAATTGCATCCTTATCGGATGACTAACAGAAACACGAAACAACATCTAGCGGCCGGGTTCTCCTTCCCGTCTTCATTTGCTTCTACTCTGTCTAGAGACCACCAGACACACCATCAACGGGTACCTTGATCATAGGTTAAAGATACCTAAAACAGAAAATAGAACAAATTAGAAAGAAAAAAAAACCTTTAAATCATAATTAGAATTATAAGAAAAAATACCCTTCAAATGCTCCACGAATTCAGCCTGACCATCAATGTCATCAATGGATATCAAAAAGTTCTTTTGGAATTCAGTAGTTTTCTCCGCAAGATTATAAATTGTGGCAGGATCAATATTCAAGTCGCGGCGAAGAACACTCCAAAATTTGTGATAGAGTTTCGTATCAAATTTAGGAATGTCTGAGGGTGGTGGTACAGCACTGGTGATTGAATCAGAAACCGGTAAATTAGATGGCCCTTCCGCATTAGATGGAGCAGTTGTGGTTTGAGTTGGGGACCTACTCCTATCCCTACTAAAACTTTTTGTAATTAATGAAGGGATTTTGAGTTCCAGCTCGAAGAACAACGTCCTGACCAAATCCTTCAACTGATAACCAGGAGCCTATTATAATAAGTTACCAAAAGTTACAGAAAATAAAACGAACTTCATTATTATTATCAATGTATCAAATTATAAGAATAATACTATATGAATAAGCCAAGACACAAGAAGAAACAAAAAACAACTGCAGCCACCTCCAGGAGCCTGTATGAATAAGCCAAGAGGTGGTGTGCTGCTGCCACCTCCTCTACACTAAGAAAAAATAAGCCACAATACAATACTAAACAGCCCGATTAGCACACCAGACTTGAGACTAACTAGACTCCAACAACATCGGTATCGAACGACCGCACCAAGAAACCTGAGGCAAAACTAGATTCTGCAACAACCAGCAGATACCTTACCAACAACACACCACCTCCGCCCAAAATTCAACTTTAACATCACCAGCTCGATCAAAATCTGAAACTCCTGATAGTGCTACACCAGAAAACACCAGCATACATACTGCCACTATAACGTAGAGGCCTAGACAGCGGAATTTGCAGCAATAAAGAAACATAAAAAAACTTACAGCTTTGAATTGTTTCAAGTGCTGGAGTCTAAGAGCCAAATCTTTCAACGATTTTGGATGAATGTTGGGCAAACCTCTTGGATTGAGGATATTGTTCAGTTTGTCTCTTGCCATATTCCAAAAATCCAGGGATTTGAAATCACGTTGTTCGTGTAAGCTGCTGAGTTGAATGAAATGATTCAAAAGGGTCCGATCTGAGTTTTCGGTCCATTCATTTTCATTCTCCAGTCTTCTGTTACTCATTTTTATCTTCTTTCTCTGAATAAAAATAACAAATTTGCAACAAATTAACAAAAAATCCAGATTAATAAATCAACACAAAATCGAAAACAAGATGAAATACCTGTTGAGAAGGTTGATTAGAAGATGCACAAGATGAAGTTGTTGTATGGGTAGGTGGAAGAGAAATACTTCTCTTCATTGTAGAAATAAATTTGGCAAATTGAGATGGGATTGATGTTCTTCACGACTGTTGCGTCTTTCCTCTGGCCACCGCACCTCCCTTCGTGCTCAAACTATCATCACCAATAAGGTCCGATTTCTTTATTTTCATGCGTGTTAGTGGTCTGATTTCTTTTTTTTCCTCTGTGTGTTTTCCTCACTGCATTTTTTTACTGGCCTCCATGTGTGTTCTATGTTACTTGCTTAATGTGAGATTAGGTTTCCATGATTTTTAATAATGATTTATTTATTTAATAGTATGAATATTCATAATTTATTTTCCCACCTCAATACTTTCTTAGAAACCTTTGATAAAATGATGATTTATTTATTAAATACAAAAAAAAAGGTTTTTATGTGTCAAATTAGATGTTTAAAAAAGATTTAATTTTGACTTGTTTCTAAGATTGAGTTTAAAAAGAAGGTGTTTGAGTTTGTGTATGATTATGTTAGATGGTTAAAAATGATAGAATTTGTTTAAATTAGATGCTTGAACCTTCTGCATTTGTGTTTATGTTGGAACTATAATAATTATAGTAATAGAAATTGAAAAGTGAATTTGAAAAGATTCATTTTAGTCCCACATTGGATGTTGGAATTATATTAATGGGAATTGGAAAGTGAATTTGAAAAGATTCATGTTAGTCCCACATTGGATGTTGGAATTATATTAATGGGAATTGGAAAGTGAATTTGACAAGATTCATTTTAGTCCCACATTGGAGGAATGGAAATATCAGCCTCACTAGCTACCTATAAGTAAAGGGTAAAAATTCAGTAGTGAGCACTCTGGATTTCACAAATTCACACGAATTTTGATTTCCCTCTCTCTCCCTTAATTCTCTTCATCTAAACAATTTTCTTTTCTTGGTTTTTTTGACTGGCTATTTCAGCCAGATACTGGACTGGCTATTTTCGCCAGATAATTTAGAAAGGTGTATTTCTAGAGCGATTTATCAGTGTGCAACTGATAATCGTAATTTTGAACGGGCTGTTTTATCCTGGAGGCGTCGTTTTGAACGGGCTGTTTTATCCTGGAGGCGTCGTCGTAAATCGACTGCTTTGCATATTTTGGCAGTACGGCGAAACGTCTTAAAGAAAGCGACCTAGTACGCGACTCGTCCCGATAATTTCCTTGTGCCAATATTTCAAATCCGAAAACAACAATTTTAAGACGTTTTCATAACTGCCATGGCTACTGAGGAAATTATGGGTACTACTGCGGCCGCTTCGGTCTCTGACAAACCTTTCAGGTTTGAGGGTTCCAATTTCAAACGTTGGCAAGCTAAGATGAAATTTTTCTTAACTCTGAAAAAGGTTGCCCACGTTCTGACTGAGGATATCCCGGTTGTCCCTTATGCATCATCTGAATTACCTAATGGTAACACACTTGCAGATTCAGACAGGACTTCCAAAACGCCTGAATCAGATGCTGCAAAAGCTAAGTCTGCAGCAAATGATCTACAGCTCTGAAAAGAAATCGCCTTATGGCACGAGAATGATTATCTGTGCAAAAATCACATTCTGAACAACCTTGCTGATGATCTGTACGACTACTACAGTAGCTACAGAACTGCTAAACAGGTATGGGAGGCTCTGAAAAGGAAATATGATACTGAAGAAGCAGGTGCGAAGAAATTTGCTGTCAGCCGCTACTTGAACTACAAGATGGTGGATGAGAAGTCGGTGGAAACTCAAAGCCACGAAATTCAGAAGATTGCTCATGAGATTATTACAGAAGGTATGCCCCTTAATGAACAATTTCAAATTGCTGTAATTATTGACAAACTGCCCCCTGGTTGGAAAGATTTCAAAAATATACTTCGTCACAAAACAAAAGAATTTTCAATCGAGAGTCTGATTACTCGCCTCCGAATTGAAGAGGAGGCTCGAAAACAAGATCAGAAAGAAGAAGTCTTAGTTGTTTATGACAACAAAAAGAAGTTTGGTGCGGTTCTGAAGCCTACGGGCAAACCTTTAAAGAATCAGAACCGCTGTGCTATGAACCGAACTAAGAATGGGAGTCCCTCTAGGGCCCCATCGGCTCCGTTTGCTAGGCAACAACCACCACCTCAAAGAAATGATGCTCCGGTTTTCTCTTGCTACAATTGTGGGAAACCGGGCCATA